GGATTGCGTCCATATTTATGCAAACGAGAAGAAATCTAAAAGTGGAAGTTAGACCAGCCAATGGAATTCATCACCTCAGGGTAATGCATACATTCTTGAGATAGTTCCCATGATAGTTCTAAAAATATCGGCTCGCAGCTCCCCGTCCATCGCATCGGGCTCGGTATCACTTTCCAACCTCTTGTGAAGATACAACTCAATATCGTGCTCGTGAGGACTTATCAACAACACTTCGACAGTCGTGGCGAAATATTTCCGCACTTCGTCTCGTATGGGAGGTCTCCCTGTAAGGAATAGACGAATGTTGGGGCTTCGCCGGGCAACGTACTGTAAAGATTCCCAAAGTTCAGGTCTGTGCTTCTGGGGAAACTCGTCCAAAGCGTCGATACATATGATGCCCCGTTTCAAACTCGACAGAGACTCGACGAGTATCTCACAGATCTGGGGAAGCTGGAGCCCGAAACTGCCAGCCTGGCTTTTCGTCCCCTCAAAAGCCTCCTGCAGTTCATCCGGTATCTGTGCCAACGCTCCCACAACCTGTCTCAACACTGATCTTAGTACTGCGGTCGCGGATTGCACATTCCGAGAGCTGAAGTCGCAGTACACATAAGCGACAACCACACCAGCTGGACCAACTTTACTCCTAAGTCTATCTATCACAAGAGAGCTACGCTACTTTTTTAGCATTGCACTCAAATCGGGAGCTTGATGGCCCATACCTGATGTGTGTTTTCCCGACCCCAGGGTCTCCATAGCATAAGAGGACAGGTTTCGCCGCCCGATCCTCCAACGAACACCATGCAGAAAAGCTTTGGGTCTGGAGTAGCCACTCTCCCACTCCATCCACCCGGGAGCCACACACAGTCTGGTGCCTCTCTTGTGATGTCACCGCAGACAGCCACTCTAGAACCTGGCGTTTCTCATCGGATACGGTGTTGTGAATGTTATAGATGTAGTTGGTGTTGTTACTGTTGCTGATATTCCCACAATTCTGAGCGTTGCTGTAAGTATTGCTGTAAGCGACGCTTGTTCGATTTGAAAGCACCGGTACTACGGTATCCATTTTGTCCCGCGTAGCCAAGATGCCCGGGGTTTGACGTGCGACCGGACTCATCCCGCCTAGCGTATTGACTCTCTGTTGGTACTTGTGGCCGAAATCTGTTGTTCAGATTTTAAGGAAGAAAATGTAAGGTATTAAAGTGAGAGGCAGACAAATGTCGCTAGCGGCGCTTTTGGGGGTTTGAGGTCTCCAGTTATCAATATTACATCACGTTTCCAAGCCAGGAGAAACCATGCTCAGCCCCCAAAGTGAATTTAGCCATTTGGATGCCGGTTCCAACCACCAAATCTGCCTCCCTGCAGATTTTAATTTAGAGTACCGTATGGTAGGCTCCGGCACCTGCTAGCAGTTCCACAATCACCTCCCAGCACTTCATCAGTAGCGAAAAAAAAAAAAAGGGTTTACAGGAGTTCGACAGCAAGAAAGAGTAGATATCACTCCTTGACAATACCGTAAAACCAGTCTGTAATGGGCTCGTCTAGACCGATAGTGCGGCAGGCCCTCGTGCTTTGAATCGGCCGAGAGGACCGCCAAAGCCGCCTGCTGACAAAACTTGTACCCGGCCCAGCTGGCGAGCGCTCCATCAATCAAAAGAGAGTTTAAATTCGCTGCATGGCCGGTCCAGGCGGCTCCCAACCCCCAGTCCTTACCGTACCCTACCCTACCTACCGGTACTCATAGATTGCGTTCTTTGGGCACTTTTGTCCGGCCAGCAAACTCGTGTTATGGTGGAAGCCGTCTAGACACAGTAGTAAGTGGGACGCTCCGGGGGACGCAATGGGGGACGCCTTGGCAAAATTAGGGTAGAAAATCTGTGTATATAGGGCCAACCAACAGCGTAGTTTAGGTATGACATAATCAATAAGTAGAAACCTCCCGTTCCCTCTGAATATAAGCAATAATTCGAGCTCTTTGATTCTTTCCTTGAAGAAGAGAAATTTGAGCCCAACAATACACCAACCTGGTGTCAAGGAGATATAAATCTCACAGACGTGTGAATGTTGTCTAATATTCTTATCATGAAACCAGAGTATATTTTCAAATATGTTTAATATCAATCTGTATTTAAATTTCTCTTATATATTTAATGTATTTTCCATACCAGCATATAATAAAAATATAATATCATTTAAATTATACATAAAAATAAGCGATGTGATATTATTATAATAGAGAAAATATATGAAGTACCCTAGTCATTTAAACCTCAACCCATTGTTGTTCAGCCAAATTTAATGCCAAGGCGTCCCCCATTGCGTCCCCCGGAGCGTCCCACTTACTACTGTGTCTAGACGGCTTCCACCATACGGTGCCTGCGCATTGCCAGTCTTAGAGGAGGGTTAACCATAGGATGCCCAGGTGCTATCGGACCCGTGCACACAACTAGAGCACCGGAACGGAGAAGGATATCGAAACAAGGATAGTCTAACAGGAGTTATCTCAACCCGCTTCTGCGCTTGATTTTCTTCTCAATAGGAGAAACAACTAATAGAAGCTTAGATCCTGACCCATAGTAATTCGGAGTTCGCTTACTCGAGTAGGCCGAGAGAAGATCTACATTTCCATTTTAGTCGCAAAAGGCTATGGTAGGGTGAGGCAAGCGTAGAAGTGCCCTCCTTTACCGCACCGTTGCTGGTAAACACCGAGCGGTGAAAACTAGGACCGCTTTGATGAACTCTCCTCGCTCGAATTTCTGCCAAGCCCCGCACGCACGCCCCGGAGGGGCCAGAGGGAAAGGCAAAGGACTCTCTAGATGCGGGTTTATTAGGGCCGTCGCTTCCCCGGGGTCTAGACACAGCAGGGGGGTCGAAAATTGGAAAGACAAGCTAGGGCTTCCTACTTCCCCCCCCCAGAGAAAGACTGCTCACCCGGAGCATGCGGAGCATTTGCCTAGCCTTCCCTCAAACCTAATCAGTAATCGATCAATCAACCTGCAAGGCTGACTACAGGCCATCCAATCGCGAATAAAGCGGGGTATCGGTATGTTCTCAGCCTCTGGCATGTTTTGTGACTTGCTCCAACAAATTACATTGCCGGTGCGACGGAGATCGCTGTGGAAGACTGGTACTTACCCTATGATTGACTTCTCTTCCATTCTGGTCCTTCGCCCTCTCACCGCAGCCACGAAAGCCTGGTCTGACGCTTAAGCTTTGTCTGACCGCATTTAAGCCGGTATCCCGCCTGCACGGTACAGAAAACCCCCGCAGCTCCAGTGGGGGCCATTACCCCTCGGCAGTCTTTCTTTGAAATACTTTCCCGGATACCAGCTCGAAGCGGATGGCAGGTGGTGGCCGAGTTCAAGTAGAAAAGATTTACTCAAAGCCCTACAATTTTCTACGGGCTAGGTTTCTTGCCTAGAGATTCATGCGAATTGTGTAAATGGCGGTGTAATAAAGGCTTTAACTCTTCTGTTTGTTAGCCTCTTCTTGAATTTCAACCTAATACGGTACTCCAAGCTGCCCGATAATTAACCCAATTGGGGGGGGGGTGAGCAGGGGAGACGACAACAGTAGATCAAGAATCGGGAGGCAGCAGGTTATCCGTTTTCCCCTCACCTGTGTTACAGTATTATCACGTCTAATTGAGCACCCGGCATGCTACGGGTATCCAGGCCCGGGGTCACAGTCCCCAAAAGGCACACGTGAATTAATCAAAAAAGGTTTGGGAAGATTATGTTAACCCACGCTAGGACGCCTCAGCCTCCGTATCAAATCCGACCACGCGAGAACAGTACCGCACCGGTAGGGTACAGCACTACGGTACTCGTAATGCAGAGTATTCGAGCGATCAATCCTTTCCAAGGCGCTATCCTCCTCCCCCCAATACCCGAACCCCGGATTGCGGCTGACATGCGCGAACAAGTACGCATATGTACTTGAGCAGGGTAGCTTTATTATACTCGAGTATTCATAAGGACCGGAAAACGTGATTCGTCTCTACTTGTTACAGGCAACAAGTACCCGAACATTTGGACACTTTTGAATTTTGTATGAGCGCACGGATGTGCTCAGACTGTGACCCATACAAAACTCCCCTGCTCTATCCCTGCTCGGTCTCCGAATAATCCCTGAATTATCCCTGTTTTCCTACGAAATGTTCGGGTACTTCTTGCCTGTAGCTAGTATTGAGATATGTATGTAGAGTATGGATCGCCAGAAGTATCATAGTTTCGTAATTTTAGCCGATAAGTCCTAGCGCAGGAGAAGGAATTCCAAGCGTTCAGAGTAGGGCTTGCTTACCCGTTACTCATGTTACCGATGCCATAGAAAGGGATATCGAAAATTTATTCCAACCACAAGAGCGAAAGAAAAAAAAACGGAGAAAACTAAACCTTCGGTGGAGTCTTTCAAATAATTATGCACAGGGAAACTCTTGATTTTTCAAGAATTTCAATGGGGTTTGCCAATATGAATGTACTACGGTATGATAGCACAGTTCAGGGAAAGATGACTATTGAGATGTTGGCAAGAGTATTGAAGGGGGTGGATGGGGCATCGGGCGCGCGGCCAGCTGATCGCTGCGGCGATGCCCGCACTTGATGTATGTCTCAGAGGAATCAGTTCCCCGCTAGAACAAGATATCGCGGTAATACAAACAAAGAATTGTCCAACACGAGCCGGCGAATTCCCCCCGGAGAGCCCCGTACAAGTCGACGAGAACTATTTTCTGTGTATGATAGCACTATATTTCCCGAAGCCCAAAAACCTCTGTTGCATGTGCTCAACCCTATTTGCATAGCGGGGCGTTCCGACAAGCGGCATCAGCACGACTCGGTACCCTAGTATTATACACGATAGGGAGTGCAGTACCGGTAGGTGAAAGGTATCCAAGGAGCTCTTAGCGAGGTGACCTTTTAAACGTGGATCGACGAAACGAAACGCCAAGAATTCACACGCGAAACCCATCGCACAACTTAGGAGGGGAAGTTATCTTCTCCGTCAACAACACTACGAACGGTAAAGACAGGAGTAAATATAACAACATCCAGGTCCCCCTATCCCTCGATGGGCCACCGCACATGTCCATGCTATTGCTCGTATACCCCCCCTTCCCCCGCTATAACTCCTGTGCTAAGAAGGAAAGACAAACCTCCACTGTCCATAACCTCTAGACACCCAATACGTTCAGCATCTGACTTTCCGGCTTTTCCGCTTTCCTTCCTGTGGATGCGTTGATCCAAAACTTCCGCGCATTCCTGCAGCAAAAGTGCTTCACCGAAGGCCAAAAGATGTCCGAAGCCGAAGTGCGTTCCCAGAAAGTATCCGAACAACAATCGTGAGAGCATGCCTAGCAGCACCTCGCGATTTCCAGCACGGCCCTACAGATATTTTGCCTGCGAAATTTCCGGGGGATCGCATGAACGCTGCGGGGCGCACTGTATCCCTCCGGAAAACCCGAATTCCCGTAATACCGCTAGGAAGAGGGATCCGGAAGATGCGTACTGGTGGAGACAGCTTCCGCTATACAGCCGCACCTGTAAAGTCGTTGTACCCTCCCATAGAACCCCGGCTATTGAGAGCACTCCGCTAACCCTTTCTTTCTTATTAGACGGTACAACAAATGGCGATGAAATTTGACAATATCCCTAGCGGCATACCCGGAAACAACCATCCAAAAGGCTCCTGCCATTCTCTTGTTAATAAGTAGCGGTATAATCCTTAAGGTACAAGTAAGAGTATGGGGGGGCTGCGACTGCATAACCACCATCCCTCCTGCCTTTGCCGGAAAGGACGCGAGCAAAAATTGTTGCCCAATCACTGCCTCTTATAACCTACCCGTATCCGGGAGCCAATTTGAGCTTCATGATTCCACATCCTACAGTCCTGCCTCCGGTTTCTGCGTCACCCTGTTGGGTATAAGGTCCTGTATTTCTTAGTCATAAGATCGAAAGAAAGAGTTAGTTCCATTAGTATGGCTGGTCAAGCAATTCGGGTCATCAGGTATCACTCAGTGACTGGTCGGGTTTGGATCGCGTTTGCATAGGGTACTATACTAGATAATGAGATACGATATCCAGAATGGAAAACACTTCTGACTCCAATTCAGATGTAAGAGTGGAAGTGCTGATAAATGGCGTATAGAGGGGCGGGGGGGGAAGGGAAAACCAACTTCATGTCCCGGCTTTTTGATATATACCCAAGTAACCTCAGGGATTGTGACGGCCTCCCTCTATAGCCCCCCCCCTATACACCACCACCACTAATCTCTGCGGCTTGGGATATACAATCCTGGCGTTATAATATAAGAAAGCTGAATTTATCAGCACTCTCCCCGACATGAACACCGGCAGTAAAACACAGAATCACATCAACACCATGTTCCCGGATGCTAGACACCGTCTTCCGGTACTATGCCTCATAGCTGTAATTTACGTCACAGTATCAATTATTTTCGATACTTCGATTTCTTGGACCGTCCAAACGCTACGGGATTTCATCAACCCCGGTGGTGAAAAAAAAAAGGGGGAAAAAAACCCCCAATTACGAGATGATAGAAACAACTCGTCACAGGGCCCTCACAGGGAGGGATAGGTTTGGGAGCAATTGGGGGAAAAGGAAGAGCATGAACGTTGAATCGGGACTATGCCCCTCTGATCTTGGCCGGTCAAGGGTATCATAGTCCCGCATCACCGGGATACATCCTTTGTTAGGCTAGTATATATATCATGCAGGCGGGAATGGAGGATCAACAGTTGGCGTGTACCGAGCAGACACTCCCGCTTGCGTTTCTCACGCACTCACCCAACCGGCTTCGACCGCGCGTCCTCACAGCTGCCATACCGCGGCCTTATCAACGCATTCACGGGGACAGCTAGCACCGTGTAGGTTCTCGACGAACTTAGGGCTGGATATATATTAAAAACTTGTGGGCAATGAATGGATGAATAAGTATCAGATGCTGGGGAGGTGGCGGGAGTCTTTCTTCGTGTTCCTCTGTTTCCGATATCGGTCGATATTATAGAGGACGAGGGACCAACCATGAGTTGCTTAGGAGGCACACAAGCTACAGTTGGGTGGATGGGGTAGGATTAGTGTTAGTGGGTACCCGAGCCGTTGTTCGTCTTGCTACGCGCTCTGGGCGCGCTGGCCTGGCTGCTGATATTTATATTTGCATCATCACTGATGAGTCCTCTCTCCGATATAAAAAAAGCCTCAATAGGTAGCGGAGGTGGGGTAAATCTGGGTATCATAGATAAAAATACAAAAAATACAGAATCTGACCAAGATTGAATTATCCATCACTGCTGAGCGCCGAGGATGCCGTGAAATAATTCACGAGAACCCACATTCCCGTAGAATATTAGAAGCGCGAATAATAGACAAATGAATAGGATAAAAGTTAGAAGGAAAAAAGGATGTGCTAAACTAGAACCAAGGGTAGGGATGGGGATGGATGGGGGTAGAGCTGAATCCAGTTGATTTTCCGGGGGTGGCCCGGGTTGTAGTGATTGCTCCTGATGCCTAGGCGAGACTGAAGGAGAGGTAGGAGCGTCAAGATGAGGATCACCTGCTGAATTTAAAGGGACATCTTGCGTGGCCGTGAGCAGATGCAACACTTCTTGGGGTGAAGAACTTCTACAGGTGACGGCTGGCAACCGATCGCAGGTTTCCGAAAATCCACGATCGGGGCTCCCGGGTACTCGTGATAGTTTGGCTGTATTAAGGCGATATCTATGCTTGGCAGAAAGTGATAGAAGGGCCCGGCCACCCTTACGCATCGAATCAGGAGTGACAGCCATGTGTGTAAGAAGTAGTTTCACTACGCCTTCGTGTCCTCTCCGGGAAGCAGCTGATAGAGGTGTTCGGCCGTTGTTATCAGATAAACCAGGGCTGACACGACCGGACCCAAGAAGGAGCCTCACTACCCCCTCATGTCCTCTCCAGGCGGCAAATGATAGGGGAGTTCGACCAGTATTATCCGGTAAATCAGGGTCGACTTCCTCACGTTCCAGAAGTAACTTTACTATACCTTCGTGTCCTCTTCGAGCAGCTAATGACAGAGGCGTTTGACCATCAATATTCGGTGAGTTGGGGCTGGCATCTCCACGATCTAGAAGTAGCTTCAGTACAGCTCCATGGCCTCCCGAGGCGGCAAACGATAGTGGTGCTCGGCCATTGTTATCCGATGAACATGGATTGACATCCCCGCGTTCCAGAAACAGCTCCACCACGCGTTCAAACCCTCTCCAGGCAGCATGTGATAAGGGTGATCGGCCATTTTTATCCGATAAATTGGGATTGACATCCCCGCGTTCCAGGAGTAGTTTCACGATATCCTCATTTCCTGTCCAGGCAGCAACTAGTAAAGGTGTTCGGCCGTTATTATCCGAAGAATTGGGGTTGACATCTCTGCGTTCCAGGAGTAACTCCACAACCTTCACGTGTCCTGCATAGGTAGCAAATAATAGGGGTGTTTGGTCATTACTATCAGGTGAATCAGGACTAGCATCTCCGCGTTCCAGAAGTAGCTTCACAACTCCTTCATGTCCTCCCGAGGAAGCAAAAAGCAAGGGTGTTCGGCCACCAATATCCGGTGAATTGGGATTGACATCCCCGCGTTCCAGAAGGAGTTTCACGACATCTTCATTTCCTCTCCAGGCCGCAACTAATAGGGGTGTTCGGCCATCGTTGTCCGACAAATCGGGATTGACGTCTCTGCGACCCAGAAGTAGTCTCACTACACCTCCATGCCCTCTCCAAGCGGTAACTAATAGGGGTGTTCGGCCACAGTCATCGGATGAGTTGGAATTGACATCCCGGTGTTCCAAAAGTAACTTAACAGCACTTTCATTCCCTGTCCAGGCAGCAAATAATAGGGGTGTTCGTCCTTTGCTATCCAGCGAATCGTGATTGACATCGCCGCGTTTCAGAAGCAGCTCCACTACACGTTCATGTCCTCTCCAAATAGCATATGGCAGGGAGGTCTGTCCGCCGCTATATAATAAATAGGGATTGACACCCCTACGTTCTAGAGATTCCTCGACCAGATGTTCTTGGCCCCACTCAGCAGCAAATGAAAAGGGTGTTCGGCCATTACTATCGGGCGAATCGGGATTGACATCTCTGCAGCCCAAAAGGAGCTTCACTACACTTTCATGCCCTCTCCAGGCGGCATACGACAGGGGCGTTCGGCCCTTGCGATCCGGTGAATCAGGATTAACATCCCCGTGCTCCAAAAGTAGCATTACCACAGGCCAGTGCCCCCTCCATGAAGCATACGATAGAGGAGTTCGGCCATTGCTATCGTGTGAATCGGGATTGACACAACGGCGTTTGAGAAACCACCTCACCAGATGGTGGCGCCCCCACTCAGCGGCAAATGATAGGGGAGTTCGGCCACCGTTATCCGGTGAATCGGGATTCACATCCCCACATCCTAGAAATTCCTTGACTAGATGGTCTTGCCCCCACTCGGCAGCAAATGATAAGGGTGTTCGGCCATTGCTATCGGGTGAATCGGGATTGACATCCGAGCTTTCCAGAAGTAGTCTCACTATACTTTCATGTCCTCTTCGGGCAGCATATGATAAGGGAGTTCGGCCGCCGTTATCCGCTGAATTTGGACTGACACCCGGGTGTTCCAGAAGCAGTTTCACCACACGTGATGGCCCTCTCCAACAAAAATATGATCCGGGAGTTCGGCTGTTGGGAAGTGATAAATCTGGAAAGGCATCCACGCGTTCTGAAAATTGTTTCACTTGATGCTGTCGCCCCCATTCAGCAGCAAATGATAGGGGTGTTCGGCCATTGCCATCGCGTGAATTGGGATTGACATCCCCGCGTTCCAGAAGGAGTTTCATTATACCTTCGCGCCCTCTGCAGGCAGCATGAGATAGAGGTGTTCGGCCATTCTCGTCGGGTGAATCGGGATTGACATCCCCCCGTTCCAGAAGTAGTTTCGCTACACTCTCATGTCCTGCCCAGGCAGCATATGATAGGGGTGTGCGGCCTTCGTTATCCACTGAATTGGGATTGACATCCCAGCGTCCCAGGAGTAACTTCGCGGCTCCCAGATTTCCGGACTCCGCAGCAAACGACAATGCAGTGCGACCGTCCCGGATAACCAGGTCGGGTTCGATATCCTCCTGCTCTAAAAACAGCTCGACTACTCTGTCATTTCTATATTTTACTGCCCACACTAATGGTGTATCACCCCTAGAATCGCGCCCATTCACGTCCCATCTTTTTTTCTCCAACATAGTAATCGCAATTTCTGCAATCCCCCAAGATGCAATGCAATGTAGTCCGCTAATCCCCTGAACATCCTCCACATAGAGAGACTCGCGATTCTTCTCTTCCCAGAGGATAGCGGCAGACACATGGTTCTCGTATCCGTCAAGGAGGCTCAATGCTAGAGATTTCACCGACTCAGTCACCTCTCTGGCTGCATGGGTTCCCCAGAAACAGGTAGCATATTTGAGAAATGGCGTTGTCGCTGCGACCACAAACCCTGGCTGCAGTAAACGGGCTGAGCGAGAGTTTAAATAAGTGAGGCAGGCTTCGGCCATCATCGATTGAGCTGTTATAAATAGGGTAGGATGTTGCCCTAGATACTCCTGCAGTGTTAAATGCATGAGACGGACCGTTGATGTAGCTTGGTCAATTCTAACAAGACCCAGGGTGCAGCCCAGTACGGCCCGTATTGAAGGTACATTGCGGATGTTAAAGTCTTCCGCTCCAAGCTCTACCCCCAACGCGTGGCACAGCTCCTTCGATTTCATGGGCCGCTCACATCGGGAAACCCACATCAAGGCTTCCATTCCAAGCCTTGATTTGCTTCCACCCTGCTGTCTTATCCGATCCAATGCCGTGTTGTATGCATCCTGTATACCGGGGCCATTGGTCACCCTATTGAGTGCTTGCTTCCTCCGGTGAATTGTCGCTTCCGCAAGGATTGCGTCCATATTGAGAGAAACAAGAAGAAATCTAAAAATCACTATTAGCCAACCTCTAGGATACAGTATATCGAGGACACGTACATCCCCGAGACCGCCTCCGGAATAATTCTTAGGATATCGGCCTCCAATTGCTCGTCCATC